AACCATGTGCGAATCAAACTCATGTCTTTTGCATGCTCTCCGGCAGGAGCACAAAGATAGTCCTTAAGATATGTTCCCAATATGGGAGTTGGTTTCTTGTTTGTTTGATTAATTGTTTGTTTGTGTATCTGGTTGGCTGGTTGGCTGGTTGGCTGGTTGGTTGGTTGATTGGTTGGTTGATTGGTTGGTTGGTTGGTTCGTTAGTTGGCTGGTTGGTTGGTTGGTTAATTGGTTGGTTGGTTGGTTGGTTGGTTGGTTGGTTGGTTGGTTGGTTTTGTTGGTTTGTGGAGACGCAATATAACCATAAATACAACTTACAAGCTGATATTATGGTTATACAGCTCTCACAGTGTATTCATCAATAAATCTCATAGTGTATTGCATAAAGTTGTTTCATTGTGATTTTAGACATGTTTTAGAGAGAGGGGCGGGGGGGGGCGTAACACTTTATAAATAAATCATGCAAACTGATATGGCTGAGTAGCTGTTGAATTTTCAATTGTCTGTCACCTTGAAGTCAAGGTCAGACTCCGGCTGGGTCCCGAGTTGTCCTTTATGTCCTTCCATCCAAGTGGCCTCTCGGGGGACCTAAAGCTTTGACGTCGACATTACGTACATTGTGTCTTGTTAGAGGGCAGGTGAGGAGAGGGGGGGTGTCCACATTTCATTACGGCAGCTTATTTTGTTTTTATCATATTTGTTTCACGTAATTTTGAACTACTAGACACGAAGCAGGTCACCTCAAAGACAGTGCGCTGATACTCTGTCTGGTAGACGTACCTTTGGGAAATCTTCTTCAAAGGGAGATACAAATCTTAGCTCGATAAGGTCTTCTAACCCTAGCCTTGTGTATCAATACCATGCTCGCACAAGAACTTCGCGACCGGACTACAAGTTATGCCCAGGGGTAATTCATGTCTTACTTACCTTTTTCCCCTCTTGTTCCGCAAACCAATAAATACAGTGGTGATCTGATTTGTTCATACCGTTCCCTGGATGTGATGATTAGGCTCTCTGCAACACACGCAAGAGACGAGAGTTCGATTCCCATGCGGAAAGGATGTCTTATCTACGTCCGTCTGCTGAGAAGCAGTATCTAACCTCGTAATAACCTGGGTTTTCCCTCACTGACAATACCGAAGCAGCCCGTCTTTTAAATATATGAATGGCATAGCGTGAAAGAGTAAAAGCATTATGATTATTCAAGAAAGATTTGTCTAAATATTTCGGAGAGGTTATTTTTGGTCCTGTCGACCGAAATCAAGTAGATTCAATTATACTTGTTACCGAGCCGCTGATTCTGTCTCGATTCCCAAAGGTAAAGTTGGTTTGTTCTTGAATTTTAGTGGTCCTGTTAATTTTCAAAGCTCTCTACCGCTTGCCTGGCTGGGTCCAATCGGACACAGACCTTAAATCTAGGGGACGTACAATGTATTCTTAAATAATCTATTGATGATGTGTCTTGGTGGGAACGGGTGGTGGGGGCTTGGGAAAGTGGGACGGGGGTAGCGTGCTTGTGGCTTTCTTTTACTCGCTAGGGCTTAACAAAGATTGCTTTTACTTGAGTGGATGCTGACAAGATCTTTTCCTGTTTGTATACAACTAGCGCTGAGCATTACCTTTGAGTCACTGCACATTCTTATTGCAGCACCATCCAAGCAGCTAAAGATGTACGATTTTTCAGGTACAGTTCAGGATCCTCTTACCGGTGGGCACGATCCGACGTCTAAACGAATTGTTGATGCAATGTCGCCGTTTCTAAATCCCGCCATTGATTAATGTTTAATATATTGCAAAATCCTCCTACTAGTGATTTTTGTGTATTGGTTAATCTGTTGCACTCTCAAAGTGGTATGACTGATGCTAATTTCCCAGTGGGGTAGTTTGTTTTGTTGAGTATCTACGTCTTTCAGTTGGAATTCTGGAGATACTGTTATGTTGTGGGAAGTG